CTACATTGTTTAGTTTGGACTATTTTTAAATCAGGATATTTGAATTTTGTGTAAAATTGGCCAAATTACCAAATTCTGTGCATTTTACAGGGTAATTCTAATAGCTGAATGGGTGATTTCTTGTGCTCATTAGATACAATGGAAGATATACTAGTGAAACAGCTAAGAATTTGGTCAAACAGAGCAATGGAATTGGCCTAAAATATGACTTAAAGTGGGCAAAATCGCTGGTGCATAAATTGCGCCAAGACCATTAACTTTATACCTGTGTAATTTCATAAATTTTCCATCAAATTCTGTACTTTCCATGTCGTTACCTTCAGAAAAAGATGGTAGGCAACACTCTCACCTCACACAGAGTGCCGTTGTAAGGGTGGAAGCAATGGGTGTGTTTCCTTACACCTACTGTCCCACTCATCTAGCAAGTAAGTAGGTACCTGGTTGTTAGTCAACTGGTGTGGGTAGCACCCTGGGAGGCAAGATTGAGGACCCCAATGGAAATAAGGCAGACAGTTCTCAATGATCCACTGCCTTTCTTGGGTTATCCTGGGTGACTAACCCTACAGGGTTAAAAATCCAGAAGAATTTTTTTTTTTTTTAGTATGGACGCTAAGAGCACTTTTATTCTGGATAGATAAAGGGTTAAAAACATGAAGAAGTGCATGAATGTCCAATATTATTCCATTACAGGCCCCGTTTGTATGGATCATTGGTTCCTGGACCCGTGCGATAAGCGAAAATCGCCAGCAGGTGGAAAAGAGCATTTTTTTATTATCAAATGCATCTAAAATGCCTGATAACATGTTTACACTAGCTCAATACAATTAAGCACATAAAAAAGATAAAAAAAGTATAATAAAAACACAGTACATACAATACTTACCTTAAAATACACAGCTAACTGCCCTTCCCTTATGCAACTACTGAGCGAAAATGGCAGAAAAGAAGTAAAAGCATAATGAACAATGGCTCAACTGGAAGTCAATGAAAATGCAGAACATCGAAAAAACGGTGCTGCACATGTGGGGCCATCATGTATACTGTAAGGAAAGAAAGTAGAGAAAGTGTTAAGGTAATAAGAAGCTAGAGAGCATAAAATGTATGAGAATGAAGAGAATTATACTGTTTCATAGGAGGGAAAAAAAATTATTCACACCTATACTGAAAAACAAAAGATAAAAAGATCCAATTGTGCTTCAATCCCATCAGCAGCAAGAGTGACAGAAATACACAACGAGTGCTCCATAAAACTGCAATGAATATCCTTTGTAGCTCTACAAATACAGTAGGACCCCTGTATCCGCAGGGGATACGTTCCAAAGACCTGCCGTGGTTACCAAAACCATGGATAGTAGCAAACCCTATATATAAGTCCTATACATACCTATTATAAAATTTAATTAATAAATTATGCACAATAAGTGGAGAATTATCACTTTTTCACTGATCGGAAACACTTCATGGCTTCTCTTAGGCTTTGAAGAACTGTCAGCATCTCTACTTTTGTACTTTGCGGCCATTTCTATACAAACTTAAGAGGTATTTTTGGACCACAGTAAACCATGGATAACTGAAACCACGGATACTGAATCAGTGGATATGGGGGTTCCACTACACAAAAGGCTAGCTTAAAATGTTAGTTTATCAATGGAATTTCCATGATAGTAAAAATGAAAAACATAAAACTAACCTGAATGCTTGGAATAAACTGAACCACAAAAAAAGGTAAGGCTGCCAACAATGATTTCTTTTATAATTCTGAAGCAAAACAAAACTAGGCTTACTCATTTGACACCATAACTTATTTTCACCACAGCAGCAGTGAACGCAATAACTTTTCTTACAAGGTATCCAAAATGTCTCGGAAACTGAAATCAATTCCGTTAAGAAAAATGACAAAATGCTGTATAAAATTTTTTAATCATTCACATAAATAAGCAGGATAAATATAAAAGTATGATAAAACACAAGCTTTAATTAAAATTATATAATAAAAAGATTTAATAATAGGGAAAAGATAAGACTAAAAAATAATAAAAAAGGATACAGTAGAACCCCCATGGCCAATGATTCGGTATCCATGATTTCAGTTATCCACGGTTTATTGTGGCCCAAAAATACCTTTCAATTTTGCATAATAATAGCCCCTAAACCCCAAAAGTAGAGAAGCTGGCAGTTCTTCAAAGTTAAGAGAATCTGTGAAGTGCTTCCTATCAGTTAAGAAGTGATAATTCTCCATTTATTGTATCATAATTTATCAATTAAACTTTTTAATAGATATGTATAGGACTTGTATACAGGGTTTGCTACTATCCATGGTTTCAGTATCCACAGCAAGCCCTTGGAATGTATCCTCGCGGATATGGGGGTCTCACTGTACCATTAGAATTCTGATAAATTATATGACAGTACTGCTTATTTAATCAGGATTAACTTTAAGAACACTGAGTGGAACTAGGGGATGGTCCTGGTAGACCAATAATATTATTCTGACAACTGATGAATGACCTCAATGGAAATAAGTCAAGGACCCCAATGAAAATAAGTCACTTTGTCTGACCTTTTAGGATTATCCTAGGTAATTTACACATGTATGATAATTGTACTTATGTGTACCTTTGCCTAAAGAAGGTTACTTACTCAATCAGGGTGGCTGAGTCACGAAACAGGTGGATGCAACTCAGCTGACGTGGAGGCGTAGGAAGACGGACAAGACTGGTTCCTATGTGCCTCTGCTTTCAATGGATCTTGCACGAAGCTGTTAAGGGCCATTCTTCAGACAGTTGGAATGGGCAATGTAGAGTGACTGGTATCTCTGGACTGAGATACACAAAATGGAGGTGATTCAAAATTACATTTAGCCAAGTGTTATGGATAATTATTACATTCATGGAGAGGCACTAAACCTTCATGGGTAGGTACCATAATTAGATTTAAAGTAAAGGAAGGTACCTACAATTCCTTGGATTCAGAAACATTCACCATCTTTAGGCACCTTAAGTTAAAGTACATAAAGCTTGTAAAGTATACAAGTGTAATGTAACAAGAGTTATGTGAAATACTTTCTGGGTTTTGAGAAATTGTGCCAGAGAACCATAAAATTTAGTAAATATGGTGAGGACTGCTTAAACTTGATTCTTTTCACAGAATATCAGCATCATCAATTATTATTATTATATTCATGGGGAATGCTAAACGCATAAGGGTCACACAGAACCTGAGGAAATTGAGGGTAATCAGGTTCAATCTACTAAGGGGAGATAGGTCCAATTCCTTAAACCAAGAGCTTCTTACTGGCATCAAGCAACCTTCCTCGAGGGATTTCCACGGCAAGATCATTTTAACAGGGCTTATAAGGAGCCTTGCTTAAGAAAACAAGAATATTTTAAACAGGGCACTATTTTAAAGTTAAATTGTTGTAGAAAACTTGGAAGGAAGTCATAAAATGTGGGAAATATGATTTAGGAGAGAAACAAAAGCTGAAGAACCAAGAAGTTAGACCTATTAATATGTTACCAACACCCAACCACTCACATGACTATTGTCACATAAAAGATAGTACAGGTACTAACAATCAGCACAAAATAGCACAAAGGATCCACACAGGATTGTACAAACAGTCTACACATGACAGTACTATTGATTCACTCAAAAATGTTAATAATCCAAGAGTCAATAAGTCAATAAAAAAAATCCCAAGATTATAATTATCTTAATAACAGGGCAACACAAACCATTGCATTATTTAATCAAATTTGATCCAAAAAAGAGTAGGGTAATTTCAATTCCTAGGAACAAGAGCAATAAATCAGCACCAAAAGAATGTACCCAATAAAGCAACAAGGCTATAGATAATTCCCAAGAGGTGACCTAGTCTGTCCCACAGAGGGATAAAGGAAGGATCATTTTTAATTAACATGCAAGATATTTCTAGCTCACTCATTGAATTTGTTATTTCATACATTTAAAATTCTTTGTCTGGGAATCATCCAGTTTTCACTTTACTATATTTTTATAAACTTATTTACAAATATTTTTCTAAATTTTACAGAATTATCAACCACTTCTCTGTATACATTACTAAAGTTAAAAAAAGAAACCTTTGTTTTTCTTTTCAGGCCACCCTGCTTCAGTGGGATAGAGCTGGTTTGATAAAAAAAAAAGTTTTATTCAAAATCAATACTTCTTACGTAAATATTCGTCATGTATCATAAACAGCAGTCATACAAAAATAAGTTATCTTAGAAAAATAATTGTCTAACAAAAAAGAAACTGATTTACAAAAGCAGCAACTGTTTTACAAAAACATAAGTTGTTTTAAAATGAAATTGCTTTACAAACACAGCAATTGTCTTCAAGCACATACATGAATACCAGAAGCTGTCATACATAAATAGTTGTCATCTTATTTTGCTACTGTCAGAGATACTGTAGACAGCTGTCATACATAAACAGTTACTGCCAGACATAAATTGCCATCAAGCAAATATCTGTCATCAAGTAAAAATAGCAATTCTAACACAAACATCAGTCACTATAAACAAATAGTCATCACCTTACACACATGAACCAACTAAAAAAAATCTAATATTATGAAAAGGAGAATTTATCTTATGTAAACACAGTCATCTTACAAAAATGGCAACTCAGTCAACCCTCAATTTAACTGACTACTAGGGGGAAGTGGCCAATAATGGCGAGTTCAATAAACTGAGACAAGGATTTTTTTTGCCATGAACATTTTTGCCATGAACATTTCTGTAGCCAATGAACTTCATCCATTGTTTCTGAATCAAATGACCAGTGGATTTTGTTCTGTAATTCCAAAGCCCATTAACTGGAGGGTTTACATTCTTACAGAACATTCAGTCCTCTTACAAAACAAAAATTCAAGTTTCAGCAACAAAATCAATTCAAATTCTTCAAGTTGAGATCCTTTCAGTGTCATGAAACCCATTTAGTAGCACCATATGCAAATACTGTACATAAATAAAACACCATTTAAAATTAAATTATAATTACTGCAGTCAATTGCTGATAGATATAAAAAATACAATATGAAATGTAATAATTGCAAATATTTCTAAAATTATTACTTCCTACAAAGGCACTCAATCACGGACTGGGTATTTAAAAACAAGTGCTAAACTTGTATGTGGCACACAGTGCCGTATCATGGACTGGAGTCATCTGGCATTAGTTCTGTATAAGACTGCAAACAGGAAACAGCAAAGGAAGCTGCCTTTCTTACTTGAGGCACAATGTCACTCTCCAAGTTAATAAGATCACAAATCAACTTGTGCTGACCTTCAAACTGCTTAGAGACTAAGGGACAGCACTTTGCTAGATATCCAATGAAAGTGCACAGTCTAGCTCGCACTAGAGCTACTTTATGGGTAATAAGTGTGCCCAAGAGAAGGATCACTGAATTATTTGTCCCAATGATCTGCTCAACAATTGATTTATTCTCTGGAGCTAACCTTAAAATCTGGTTCAGTATGGCTAACATATCTGCAACCAAATCTGGAAGAACATTGTCCAGGGTAAGTATTTTACCAATTACTCTGACTGTATTCAATACACAAACACAGTCACAAAATTGTAGAAGAAAATCCTTTTCAAGATGAACTAGATGGCAGATTAGCATAGTGAGTTGACCCATTGTATCAATTTGATCTTTGTCAAACTCGACTGTTCTATTGGGTTTGAGAGTTTCTACCTTGAATATTAATTTACAAGAATATATCAAATTTGGTACAAGTTTACACTCGAGATACACTTTAATCACATCTGCAATTGTATCCTTTAAGTCCTCAATGGTGAAAGGTAACAACAATAATGTAGTTATTTTGTTTGTAACTTGCAAAGGACATGTTTGATTTCTAAGTGGAGAGATGAACATTGACAGTTCACTTTGTTCCAAGAATATGCTATAGTTTCCATTAAGAGCATCTGCAAGAGTTTTGTCCAAAAACCTGCACCATTCTTCTGTTTCAATTGGCTTGTCCTCAGAGTTGAAACTATGCAGAGTGAATATTGCTGCACTACTAGTTTTGCCACTCATTACAGTTAAAACTCTTTCCTGGGTAAATGGAGTAAAGCTTTCTTCGTTTATATTTGGCAAACTTGGTCGCCCTTCCTGTATTAATTCCATCATTCCATTAGATGGCCTACTTCCACGTCTAGAAGAGTCAATGGAGCTTGCTAAATAGTTTACCATGCTGTCTTTGCGGTCTTCTAAAGGCATGGGACCATACATCTGAAAATCTTTTACATCCTCCTCCTTGAATCCAGGTTCCTCTGACAGCCTACTTAGCTTCCTAACAGATGCACCAATTACACATCTGGCATCAGTATCCAAGTTTGTTATGCCAGCAACTTCAGGTACTGATTCTGTAGAAGATGCACTTTTGTGAACTTCAACCTCTACAACAGTTGTACGCAGATCTCCAGCAAGTGCCAAGTCTTCTGTGCTCTGACTGGCTCCCTCGCTCGAGCTCGATATGTTAATTTGAATCATTTTTTCTCTTTCCCTATGTCTGACTGGGTGTGGAGAAGGGGATCTGGTGTCAGAATCCTTAGGATTATACACAACAGCTTGATACTGAACCTCTGCAAACTTTTTCAGAGAGACTGCATCTATTTGTGGCAGAATGACATTTTCTATTCTCTCATCCTGACTCTGAATGCTCTTAACTACACAGGGATCCACTGTCAAACTCTTTCTTATTACACCAGGTAAATTTGGTGCTGGTTTAGTAGATAACTCTTCAACATCTGTTTTAACAGGAGAAACATCTCTTGTTATTATAGGCTTCCCTAGCATTCTTGTCTGGCCAGCAGCTCGTTGCACAAGCTCTTTGCACTGCTGTTCTTTGACTTGTTGTTGAGATAAGGTTAAGGGGTTTGTGAGAGGTATACCAGTTAAAGACTGCTGAACAAACACCAGTCCTTCATGAACCCAAGGATGCTCAAGCAAATGGGGCCAAGTCAACCTCTTTCCAGGATTTTTTTCCAGCAACCCATGAAGAAAGCTGGAACAGTCTTCACTCAGTCCATGTGGCCATGACACTGGCTCTGTCCTTACCTTCTTGATAAGCTGTACAATAGATGTAGTACAAAATGGTGGTCTTCCTGTTATAAGCTCATACAGAATGCATCCTAGAGACCAAAGATCGGCATTATGGTCATACGGCTTTTCTTCAATTAATTCTGGTGCCATATATAATGGTGTGCCTTTTACAGAGGTAAGAACATATGTATTGATCCCCATTTTTCGAGAAAAACCAAAGTCACACAACTTTGCTTCTCCAGTCACTGAAAGGAGAATATTCTGTGGTTTTATATCTCTATGGAGGATTCGATGGGAATGTAAATAATATATGGCAGATACCAAGTTGCAAGCAAGTTGCTGAACTCTCTCTTCTTTTAAAGGTCCATTAGTTTCTAAAAGCTGGAAAAGTTGCCCTGGAACATATTCACTGACAGCCACAACCTCATTATCAGTTTCAAATGAATCAACCATTCGAACAATGTTTGGATGTGCCAAACCTCTCTGAATCTCACATTCCCGGCGCAAGCTCTTCAACTCCCTCTCTACTTTGTTTCTTTTGGGTATAAATTTCAAAGCCACGATTTGCCCATTAAGCAAGCATTTTCCTCGGAACACTCTACCAAAGGACCCTTGGCCTATGGCTTCCAAAACTTTATACTTTTCCATTCTGAGGATCAACCCAGCCTGCAAAATAAAAAAACAAATAAATATCCCCAATAAAATTAAGTAATGTAACAAAATTAAGAGACAATTTTGAATCATATTACATGACACTCACTCAAGTCATATGGGAATATAAACAAGCGAATTTAGTTATTACTGTATAAAATTACAAAATAATTATGTAAATGCCTGAAAAGCACTAGACGTATAAGGGATATTCAATGCTATAACAAAGATGGTTGTGAGGAAGAAACGAGGGTGTTGCGAGAAGGACATGAACAGAAAGGAAGGGGAATCCCAACTGATGAAGTACAGTAAATTAGAGTCAGTAGAGAAATCATAAGAGTGTTTGCTTTAAAGGAGGAAAACAGTGGTACCTTGACTTACGAGTTTAATTCGTTCCGTGACCGAGCTCGTAGCTCAATTTGCTCATGTATCAAATCAATTTTTCCCACTGAAATTAACAGAAATGCCATTAATCTGTTCCAGCCCCCAAAAAACCACCCCAATTTTTTTGTTACGGGTTTTTCAATAAGAAAAATGTATTTATAAATAAGAAATTATTTTTGCCTTTTTGCCAGGTCCCAGCAATGTTTTAGAAATGCTGGAGTATATATGAATCTCCTTGAAGCATGGTGTAAGATGAGTGTCACTCCACTGCTGAGCTGACAGTGCAGCAGTGGAGTGACATTTAATGATCGTGCACTGTCTTGGCTTTATTTGTCACTGTTACACAAACACGTCTGTCTGTTTCTGCCTATCTGTCTACTTGTTTCTGTCTATTTGTCTATCCGTATGTCTAGCTGTGTCTATGTTTATCTTTGTCTCTGCTTATCTGTCTTTCTGTCTGCCTATGTTGCTGTATTTCTGTCTAGTAAGTTGGGGCACTTGTATGTCGATGTACCACTGTAGTCAGAGAGGTTTAATTATATTTATGGGGAAATGCTAAATTAGTTGGGGTCCTACAGTGCCAGAAGAAATGTGAAAGGGAGGCAATCAAGGATGATTCAAGGAAGAAAAGGGTAGCTCCAATTCCCTTGATCAAGAGCTCTCTGCTGGCATTAAGGCCAGAAGGGCATCAGAGAGGAAAACATAGAAGGTCACTGAAGATGAACCAGTACATCTAATAAATGTGCATTCATCCTAAAATTTGAAGAAAAATATAGACTACAGTACAGTTCATAAATAACTAACGTACATTAGTTATTTATGAAGCATCTTTCCTATTAATAAATTTTACATTAAAAAATTTGTAAACAATATGGGATAAATATTAAAAAATTTATTTATGATATGAACCAGTTCAGTATAATATTTTACATTTAGTTATTCAAAAGAATAATGCCTGATCATTCCCAGAAATTCTAGACTTTACACTTCTAAATTTAACTACTTTCTCCGTACCTCCTAATTTCACACGCCTTACTACATTTTCTTGAGCTTAGAGTTGGATAAGCAGCATGTTAGGAGAGATATAAAATTAGGTAAAGTATACACACGGGTACAGCAGATTACTGATTATTATTTGGCAATTGGTTATTCAGTCTCCGGCATTATCCAACAATCGTGTTTGTCCCATCTCCTAAATAGACTAGAAGTATTTTGGACACTGTGCAATATGAGAAAGGTATCCCTGTATTGCATAACCAAAGTCCCCTGTACTTAAATGTAGACAACTGGAATAGCGCACACACATTTACTGTTATATTCGGCTAATAAAAACTCTTGGCAATTATTACTGAAGTCTTTTTCATTCCTTTTTTCATCCATGGGACTATTAAGGCAAACTGACATCACCTTTTTTCTCCTACCCAATGGAAGCACAAAAAAAATGTTTAATTTTCCATAATTGTTTACCTTCTAAAACAGGTGGCGTAACCTTACCTAATACAGTGGACCCCCGCATAGCGACCTTAATCCGTGCAAGAGGGCTGGCTGTTATGCGAAATGTTCGCTATGCGAATGAATTTTCCCCATAAGAAATAATGGAAATCAAATTAATCCGTGCAAGACACCCAAAAGTATGAAAAAAAAATTTTTACCACATGAAATATACATTTTCCTACACACAAAGAGAAGGATACATGCACACTAATAGAGTAGTACATGCTCAATATATATTGTGCATGTACTACTCTACTAAATGAAGAATAAATGACACTTACCTTTATTGAAGATGCAGCAATGACTGATGAGACACTGTGTCCTGGGAGTGCCTTTTCCTCCTGAGTACTGTAGGTCCTGTTTGGTATTTTCTTCCAGAACAGGCCTTATCACACTGTGTATGCCACTACGATTCTTAAATCTCTCAAACCAACCTTTGCTGGCTCTAAATTCACCAATATGAGCACTAGTTCCAGGCATTTTCCCTGTTCACCTGGGTGTTAGTCAACTGGTGTGGGTTGCATCCTGGGAGACAAGATTAAGGACTCCAATGGAAATAAGTTAGACAGTCTTCGATGACACTGACTTTCTTGGGTTATCCTGGGTAGCTAACCCTCTGGGGTTAATTGTTTCTTGGTATTCTCAATAAGCCACACCAACAACGGTGGTACAGCAGCAGCAGCAGCTGACGGTGGTACAGCAGCAACAGACGATGCTACAGCAGCAACAGACGATGCTACAGCAGCAGCAGACAATGCTACAGCAGCAACTGACGATGTTACAGCAGCAGCAGACGATGCTACAGCAGCAGCAGCAGCAGACGATGCTACAGCAGCAGCAGACGATGCTACAGCAGCAGCAGACGATGCTACAGCAGCAGCAGACGGTACTACAGCAGCAGCAGCAGCTGACGGTGGTACAGCAGCAGCAGCTGACAGTGCAGCAGCAGCTGACGGTGGTACAGCAGCAGCAGCAGCTGTACCACCAATAGTAGCAATGGTTGATTGTGGTTTATTATACAACCTGGCCAGCTCGGAGACACGCACTCCACTTTCATACTTATCAATGATCTTTTCTTCATCTCCATAGTAATTCTCACCCTTATTGCTGTAGGGTTGGCACTAGAAGCTTTCTTGGGGCCCATGGTCACTTATTTTCCAGAAAAAAATCACCAAAAACACTGTAATAATACAAAATGTTCCGATTGTATGCTTGGATGTTACCGCGGAGGCTGGCTGGTAAACAATGCCACCCGCGGAACATGTGAGCGTGGCTCAGGCCGCACATTGGACGCGTCTCGGACGAAGGCCGCTGAGCGGGTTTTTGTCCACTATGCGGGGCAAAATTTTAGCGAACAAAGCGTCCGCTATGCGGATTGTCCGCTATGCAAGGCGTCCGTTATGCGGGGGTCCACTGTACTACTGTAATATGCCGGGATACGTCATATAATACGTTGAATTCATATTTGCTGCCCCTCCCCCTCCACTTTGAGACTAACTGTGCACAAGCTGATAAAACCATAGCTGACTCCTGCTTAACACCCTATATAGAGAATGGAGGAATTGTTATTTAATGTGAAAAATAAAATAAGGGAATTTAATTATCCACAAGAAATCTGTCATAACTTGAGATGGGGACAGAAATGATACTATTCCATGTCAAACTCACGTGATAAAAATTTCAGTGAAGAAAATTTGCAAAAAACAACTCACCAGAGTTGGGTCTATTGCTGAATATAGGCCTAAAGGCCATCACAACTCTTCAGCTCACCAATAAACCCAAAACCCCCCTTTTCCCCTATATAGAACTTATTTCCCAAATTTTTTAAGGCTTTTTCCTTTCCCTTTTTTTAAAAGGGGAATTCATTTTCCAAAACCCCCGGACCTTCCCCCTTTTACTTTTTTAAAAAAAAACCCAAACCCCCCAAAAAAAAATTTTCCCCCTGTTTTTTTTTTTCCCGCCCACCTTCCCATCTTTACCCCCCCCCCACTAATCCTCGCCCCCCCCTTTTGCCTTTTTCCTCCTAAAATGGATTCCCCCATAGAAATTTGTTTTTTTCCAAAAAAAATTAAAAAAATTTTCCCCCCTTAATACCTTCTCCCCCCAAAAAATCCCCCCCCTTTTTTTTTGCAAATATTTTTTCCCCACTTTCTTTAATTTTTTTAAACCCCCTTATTTTTTTTTTTCATTAAAAATTTTTTGAAATGCCTTCCCCCTATACTGTTCCTTTTGTTCTCCCCCCCCTTTTTTTTTTCCAAAACCGTTCTTTTAAATTTTTTTTAAAAAACCCCCCTTTTTTCCTTTTTAAAAATTTTTTTCCCTTTTCCCCCCCCTTTTTTCCTGTTTTCCAAAAAAATTTCCCCCCCTTTAAATATTTTTTAAAAATTTAAACCCCCCCCCCCCTACTCTTTTCCCCCCTTTTTTTCCAATGCCCAACCACCCGAACCCCCCCCAGTTTTTTTTTCAAACCCCCCTTTTTTTTCACCCCCTTTTTCCCACTACCCATCTACGCACAACTAATTTAACGACAAACGTTTCCCCAACAGCACCGGAGCTAACCAGCAACCTTTTACACCACAAATCTAAACACACAACGGGGCTACACAGACCAATATTTTTTTCAAAAAGTTTTTATTACACATCTTTTACACAAGCAAAAGGTCCCCATATACATGGTTATTTTGGTTATATACAAACCCGCCATCAACATTTACCCACTTTAATTAAAACAAACTTTCTTCACTCCATAGTAATCTCCACCATCTTAATACCCAAAACTTTCTTTCCCTTCACTTTTTTCCAGAAAAAACACCAAAACACTTTAAAATCCCAAAAATTTATTTATCCCAAAAAGTTAACCATGCTTTAACTGCCACCCGGACATGTAACGGGTAGGCCATCTTTGACGCTCTCAGAAACCGCCCTACCTTTTTTCACTATCCCGGGGAAAATTTCACTAGGTTCCCTAAGCCGGAGTCCGCTTCACCTTTCCTTAAATCCCTCCATTACTTCTTAATTGCCAAAAAACGCATATAAACTTATTATATTTTCCTCTTTTTTTTTAGTAATTCACAAGGATAAACCTACTGCTCCTGCTAACCCCATATTGAATAGGATTGTTTTAAGGGAAAATAAAAAGAATTTATTATCCCCAAGAATTGAATTAATGACAGAAAATGATAAAATTTAGAAAACTCAGTGATAAAAATTTAATGGAATTTTTAAAAAATACCAAGTTGGGGATGCAAAAGGGCCCAATCTTTAATTTTGGCCCAATAACAAAAATTACCATTCACTTTTCTTAATACGGCTTTTTAATACTTTTGAGGAAAACTAAAAAAAAATTTTGTATACCACCTAAATGGAAATTTGTTATTTTTAAAATTCAAATAAATTTATTAAAGAAATTAGTAGTAAAGGTTAATGTTTCAAAATGGTTTTGGGACATGGGGTTCAGTCGAAAAAAAGAAGAAGAAATCTATAAGCATGAAGTAAAAATTAATATGTTGTTTTACTTCTTTAATTTTTTAAAAAACTAAAAACTTCAGTTTAATTTTCCAGGTGCATACACGCTTATTATAACCCACTTTTCACATCCAATCTTTATTTTACTCCACATAATCCTTGAATTAATACATTTATAGTCCCTCTTTTCCTGCCATAGCTTATCCTTCAACATTATTGCTACTCCTTCTTTAGCTCTAACTCTATTTGAAACCCCTGACCTAATCCCATTTATTCCTCTCCACTGAAACTCTCCCACCCCCTTCAGCTTTGTTTCACTTAAAGCCAGGACATCCAGCTTCTTCTCATTCATAACATCCACAATCATCTCTTTCTTATCATCTGCACAACATCCACGCACATTCAGACTTCCCACTTTGACAATTTTCTTCTTCTTATTCTTTTTAGTAATCTTTACAGGAAAAGGGGTTACTAGCCCATTGCTCCCGGCATTTTAGTTGACTTTTACAACACGCATGGCTTACGGAGGAAAGATTCTTATTCCACTTCCCCATGGATATAAAAGGAAAATTAATAAGACCATGAACTATTAAGATAAAATCAAAGAAAACTCAGATGAGTGTGTATAAATAAATGTGTACATTTATGTGTAGTGTGACCTAAGTGTAAGTAGAAGTAGCAAGACATGCCTGTAATCTTGCATATTTATGAGACAGACAAAAGACATCAGCAATCCTACCATCATGTAAAAACAATCACAGGCTTCGTTTTACACTCACTTGGCAGGACGGTAGTACCTCCCTGGGTGGTTGCTGTCTACCAACCTAACAAGCGAATTTAGTTATTACTGTATAAAATTACAAAATAATTATGTAAATGCCTGAAAAGCACTAGACGTATAAGGGATATTCAATGCTATAACAAAGATGGTTGTGAGGAAGAAACGAGGGTGTTGCGAGAAGGACATGAACAGAAAGGAAGGGGAATCACAACTGATGAAGTACAGTAAATTAGAGTCAGTAGAGAAATCATAAGAGTGTTTGCTTTAAAGGAGGAAAACAGTGGTACCTTGACTTACGAGTTTAATTCGTTCCGTGACCGAGCTCGTAGCTCAATTTGCTCATGTATCAAATCAATTTTTCCCATTGAAATTAACAGAAATGCCATTAATCTGTTCCAGCCCCCAAAAAACCACCCCAATTTTTTTGTTACGGGTTTTTCAATAAGAAAAATGTATTTATAAATAAGAAATTATTTTTGCCTTTTTGCCAGGTCCCAGCAATGTTTTAGAAATGCTGGAGTATATATGAATCTCCTTGAAGCATGGTGTAAGATGAGTGTCACTCCACTGCTGAGCTGACAGTGCAGCAGTGGAGTGACATTTAATGATCGTGCACTGTCTTGGCTTTATTTGTCACTGTTACACACAAACACGTCTGTCTGTTTCTGCCTATCTGTCTACTTGTTTCTGTCTATTTGTCTATCCGTATGTCTAGCTGTGTCTATGTTTATCTTTGTCTCTGCTTATCTGTCTTTCTGTCTGCCTATGTTGCTGTATTCCTGTCTAGTAAGTTGGGGCACTTGTATGTTGATGTACCACTGTAGTCAGAGAGGTTTAATTATATTTATGGGGAAATGCTAAATTAGTTGGGGTCCTACAGTGCCAGAAGAAATGTGAAAGGGAGGCAATCAAGGATGATTCAAGGAAGAAAAGGGTAGCTCCAATTCCCTTGATCAAGAGCTCTCTGCTGGCATTAAGCCCAGAAGGGCATCAGAGAGGAAAACATAGAAGGTCACTGAAGATGAACCAGTACATCTAATAAATGTGCATTCATCCTAAAATTTGAAGAAAAATATAGACTACAGTACAGTTCATAAATAACTAATGTACATTAGTTATTTATGTGCATTCATCCTAAAATTTGAAGAAAAATATAGACTACAGTACAGTTCATAAATAACTAATGTACATTAGTTATTTATGAAGCATCTTTCCTATTAATAAATTTTACATTAAAAAATTTGTAAACAATATGGGATAAATATTAAAAAAATTATTTATGATATGAACCAGTTCAGTATAATATTTTACATTTAGTTATTCAAAAGAATAATGCCTGATCATTCCCAGAAATTCTAGACTTTACACTTCTAAATTTAACTACTTTCTCCGTACCTCCTAATTTCACACGCCTTACTACATTTTCTTGAGCTTAGAGTTGGATAAGCAGCATGTTAGGAGAGATATAAAATTAGGTAAAGTATACACACGGGTACAGCAGATTACTGATTATTATTTGGCAATTGGTTATTCAGTCTCCGGCATTATCCAACAATCGTGTTTGTCCCATCTCCTAAATAGACTAGAAGTATTTTGGACACTGTGCAATATGAGAAAGGTATCCCTGTATTGCATAACCAAAGTCCCCTGTACTTAAATGTAGACAACTGGAATAGTGCACACACATTTACTGTTATATTCGGCTAATAAAAACTCTTGGCAATTATTACTGAAGTCTTTTTCATTCCTTTTTTCATCCATGGGACTATTAAGGCAAACTGACATCACCTTTTTTCTCCTACCCAATGGAAGAACAAAAAAATGTTTAATTTTCCATAATTGTTTACCTTCTAAAACAGGTGGCGTAACCTTACCTAATACTACTGTAATATGCCGGGATACGTCATATAATACGTTGAATTCATATTTGCTGCCCCTCCCCCTCCACTTTGAGACTAACTGTGCACAAGCTGATAAAACCATAGCTGACTCCTGCTTAACACCCTATATAGAGAGTGGAGGAATTGTTATTTAATGTGAAAAATAAAATAAGGGAATTTAATTATCCACAAGAAATCTGTCATAACTTGAGATGGGGACAGAAATGATACTATTCCATGTCAAACTCACGTGATAAAAATTTCAGTGAAGAAAATTTGCAAAAAACAACTCACCAGAGTTGGGTCTATTGCTGAATATAGGCCTAAAGGCCATCACAACTCTTCAGCTCACCAATAACAAAAACAATGTTACACGTTTTCTCTTCATATACGGCATTTGGAATTACTGTTTTGAGTTGACATAACTAAAAATAATAAATAATTAAGTATACTCACATAAGTGTACCATTTGGTAGTAATCAAATAATTTCAGAAGCACAGATTCATTCATTTAAAGAATTATGTACAGTAATTGTTCGAGTGTTTTCATCATGTTTTCTGGTCTTGATTTCATGGGAAGTCTCAGTTCTGAAAATACAATGATATGCTTAAGAAAATCTATAAGCATGTAAAGCATAAAAAATTAATATGGGTTTGTTTTCACTTCTTAATTAAATCTTGAGTTCATTAGAATCCTAAAAAATAACACTGCATTGTGAAATGAATAAGGTACATGGTATATTTTTCTGAGCATACATAAATGTATACCATACATGCATGCTTTAAAAAAGATGGAGTGATCTATATTGTTACTCCATCCATAAGCTAAATATAAAGAAATTAAACAAAACCCGCACATAGAAGAGAGGAGCTTATGACGATGTTCCAGTCCAAGTAGGACCGAAACGTCGTTGTAAGCTCCTCTCTTCTATGTGCGGGTTATTTGTGTATCGTTCCAGTTACAGTACTGTGCCTTCTTTTGTTATTTAAAGAAATTAAAATTGAAAAGAAAAAAACAATGAACTAAGATTGACCTCTTTGGTCCCTACTAGATGTATTGATGGAATTTAAAAATGATGACATAACTGCAGCAGGCAAATGCAAGTTATACCTGCCAAATGTATATTTAGCTATCAGGGAAAAATCTGAAAAAACTGAATATCAGTTGTTGGATGGTAATTTGCCGACAAACATGGGAAAATGATACTACATATAAAGTAAATTTATATTGACAGATGAGACTTCACTTCAAGTTGAACTTTATCAATTTAGAGTGAATGTCATCTATAAATAAAGGCTTGAAATGTACATAATGTCTCTTACTAAATACAAGTTACCATAATTTGCATAACAACTGCACAATAAAGTGACTGAGGCAGTACAGCCTCTCCTCACTCAGCGACGTACTCATTTCCCGATGACTCGGACTTACGACAGGCTCTCTGACCAGTATGCACACTTAATGTATATTAGAGCTGATTTCTTCTGTTCTGTTTATTACAATATAAAGTACACTACTGTATAAATATTTAAAAATACACTGTACTAAAAATTTTATAAATGGTACAAAGGTGACATTAAAACCATATCAAAGATGGTTGACACAAACCCACTACCATTATAATATGCTCCATGCTTAGCAACAAATTTGTTTACCGACATGGTCTTAGGAACAGGACTCCATCATTAAGTGAGGAGAGGCTGTACACAAATAACCTGCACAAAGGAAAATGAAACATGAAAATGTTTCAGTTCAGTTTGGACCATTAACCAGTCATGTTACCAGTTAATGGTCAAAATTGGGCCAAAATATCTTCACGGGTTTCATCATCTCGCATGCAGGTTAACCCGTAAACGGTCCAAACGTATATATACGTTTTTTCAACATTTGAAAGTATGTAAAAAAAGTAGATCTTCTTTTTGTTTTTTTACATTTGAAAATGTGTAAAAAAACTTTGATCTACTTTTTTTTTGTTATATTTGAAAATATGTAAAAAAAACGTAGATCTACTTTTGTAGCACTACACGTGTGAACGTAGATCTGCTTGGACCGTTTACGGGTTAAATGTGTATAACAACTGCACGTCTATGACTCTTTTGAAATAAACAATTTTGCTTATATTCTGCAAGGATTACTCTGTAACAGCTAACTGCATTATATATAATATCAATACATACTGAGAGTTAAGATCTTATTTGTCTTATTACTGTAACCCGAGAGGGTTATTAATCCAAGACTATCAAGCAAAGCGAACTATTTTCTTTGGGGTTCTTTAGCCTTTCCCAAGGACATGACCCGTGCTATTATTAGTGATTATATAAATGGGGATGTGCCAAACCCACAAGGGACTTGCAGCCTCAGGGAAGTGGAAGGTAAGTAGGTTTAATGTAAGGGGATGGATAGCACCAATGCCCTGGATCAAGAGCCCTTCACTAGTAGCAAGGCATTTACATCATGACGATGAATGATGATGGATACGATGATGATGTCAATGATGGCAATGATAAAGAAGAAGACGAAGATGAAATGAGGACAATGATAATGACAATGATGATGTGGAAATTGTTATTATAGATGATAAGTGACAAAATAAGAATCTTGTGTACTGTATTACGATGCACATTCTTGTAATTAAGTGGGTTGTGCAATGGAGACAATAATATTTTAAACAAATAGGAAAGAAGCTTAAATTTGATAATAAAACTTAATAACCTAACCTAACCAAATCTAAGCTAATCTAGACTAGCAGTAAAACTGTCTGCTATGTTAAGTTGGCTAACATAGAACAAATAGAATAGAATACAAAGAATTACATTAAGAAATAAGAAATAAAAGATAAATAAAAAATACTTATAAAAATTTAAAATATAAAAAATACAGTCAGTTCTGCTTGATGGCCCGGTGACCTGGTGGCTAAAGCTCCCGCTTCACACACGGAGGGCCCGGGTTCGATTCCCGGCGGGTGGAAACATTTCGACACGTTTCCTTACACCTGTTGTCCTGTTCACCTAGCAGCAAATAGGTACCTGGGTGTTAGTCGACTGGTGTGGGTCGCATCCTGGGGGACAAGATTAAGTACCCCAATGGAAATAAGTTAGACAGTCCTCGATGACGCACTGACTTTCTTGGGTTATCCTGGGTGGCTAACCCTCCGGGGTTAAAAATCCGAACGAAATCTTATCTTATCTTATCTGACCCAGTGTTATATATCACATCAATGGACACTTTGACCATTTTGGGGGGTTAACTTTGATACTTTATGCTTATGTTACTATGTATGACAAATGTAGTTACCTAAACATGTGGAACTGCTCCTAAATAAACTTACTTCTGCTAAATAGAGAAATAATTTGTTTGTTGATGGGCTTGATGTAAGGCCTACCAGGGCAACAGCCGTAATGTTTGTGTTTAGGGTTTATAGGGCTACTGGAAACTTACGCTGAGTCGAGATCTGCTTCAGGTGTCAGTAAGTCAGTAAGTATGTATGTATGTATGTATGTATGTATGTATGTATGTAAGTAAGTAAGTAAGTAAGTAAGTAAGTAAGTAAGTAAGTAAGTAAGTAAGTAAGTAAGTAAGTAAGTAAGTAAGTAAGTAAGTAAGTAAGTAAGTAAGTAAGTAAGTAAGTAAGTAAGTAAGCAAGTAAGTAAGTAAGTTTATTCAGGTATACACAAATACAGTTACATAGAATTATCATACATAGCAGCATAGGTGTCCGGGGAAGAAACCTCGTCCCAGTTATAATTGGAAGCAATATGACTTGCAGGGGTGTGTGTATTGTAGTATATGTTCCCTGTGAGCCTCGAGATCCACAGGTAGGGGCCAGTCTTGGCCAGGATTTCCTGGCGATGAATAGATTGATAAAACTTCCTCATTGAGTGAAACAAGTAGGATAAGTAGGTTTATTTAGGCACAGATACAAATAAGTAAAAGAATAAGAAATTTATTTTGACATGATATATGGTTGTACAGAGGGATATAGTAGTTGGTCATTGATGCAAATGAGAAAGAGAAGTGGGCCAAGGACACTCCCCTGTGGGACTCCAACATGAATAGCTCGTGTAGTAGAGTTGGCTCCATTTGTGTGTACATACTGGGTTCTATTGCTAAGATAAGATTTTAGGTAATCGAGAGAGTGTCTTCTGACCCCGTAATGTTCGAGTTTTAGTTGCAAAAGGTCATGATCAACTGTATCAAAACTTTTTTGTAAGTCTATGAAAAGTCCCAGGGGAAATTCATTTTTTTCAATTGCAGAATATATTAGTTCAAGCATATGTATAATAGCATCATTAGTACCTTTTTTGGTCTGAACCCAAACTGACAGGGGTTTAGTATGTTGTGGGATACGAAGTAGGAGTAGACTTGTTTGCGAATTAATTTTCCGAAGATTTTAGATAGTAGGGGCAAGTTTGATATAGGCCTATAGTTGTTCAGTTCAGTTGGATCATCTCCTTTGAGGATTGGGGTGACCCTTGCTGTCTTGAGTATGGATGGGAAGGTGGAAGATTCAATGGATTTGTTAAAAAGAAATGCAATAATTGATGACAACACATGAGAAGCTTTCTGCACATGAGTGGCGGTAAGTTATTTAGGTTTCCTGCCTTGTTCCTTATTGTTTTGATGATAAGCAAGATTTCAGTAGGGTCTGTTGGGGCTAAAAATAGAGTATGTTAGATAGTAACATATGTGTAAATTACCTAGAATAACCCCAAAAAGTAACACAAATTGACTTATTTCCATTGGGATCCTTGGAAATTTATTTTCGAGGTCCCGCCTAGACTCGAACTCGGATCAAGGGCCCTAAACGGACACAAAGCCCACACAAAAGAGGGTCCTGGAGTATACCTGGAGAGAGTTTCGGGGGTCAACGACCCCGCGGCCTGGTCTGTGACCAGGCCTCGTGGTGGATCAGGGCCTGATCAACTAGGCCCTGCAATCGTTTTTGCAAAATTAACAAAAGAAAATCAAACGAGACACAAGGATATTCCAAATCGCATGCAACATGTACGCTGGAGAAATTGGCAAGGAATCTTGGGACCAGGATAACTGAGCACAAGTACTTGGTCAGAATCAGTCAGGACGCCAAGTACATCTTTCAACAAAATGGAAGACCCATACAAACAGAAATCAAACAAAACTACACTAATTCAAACCATACCGATCTTTGACCTTTTCACTAATAACCAATTTTTAAATAAGTGGACTGATAAGCCAGTGGATGACCGAGGCCTTCCTCGCTTGAGCTGCTTTTGTTTTAGCCACTGATACTGGAGAAGCCCTGGCACTGTTTCTATGCCTTAAGAAACTCCTTCCCAGTTCTCGTCTTCCTTTGTCCCAGCTTTCCCGCTCTCTCCTTTCCTGAGAATCTGTCTGTCTGTCTGTTATTGCACTGTATTCTGCTGAAGAGAACCTCAGCTACAGGTGGAAATATACTATTAGTTTTGCCGCCTGAACGGCTAGTTTATTGTGCGTCCCATGCTCATCCTATGAGCAATATCACAGGAAACAAGATTACAGACGTCACAAAGGGTCTTTAGTAGATACCACTGGCATAGTTACATCACAAAAAAATAATACAGCACAGTTA